CACTGCGCCACCAGGGAAGCCCGTCTCCTCCTCTTTTGAGAGCACTAATCCCATCGTCCTCAGGACCTCATCTAAACCTAATCACCTCCCAAAGCTCTGTCCCTAGTGCCATCACTTGGGGGATTGAAGCTTCAACACGTGAACTGTGGGAACACACAAACGTTCAGTCCCTAACACTGCCCGTTAAAAGAGACTCGGGTTCCTGAAGCCCAGGGTTCCTCTTCTGGAACAGAGACCACAGCACATGCAGTGTGGCAAAGCCCTGGGGGGACTGGAGCTTAGATGCAGGAAGATGCAGATGCACTGGCTGCCCTTTAGCCCTCTGACTCTGATCCAGGAGTCTCGTGTCTTCTGCCAGCAAACTGACAGGTTGATTTGTCAACCTGCATGTAGGGTGGAATCTCAGAGCCTTCAGAGGACTTTCCAGAGCTCAGGCCTGTCTAAATCCCAAACCTTATGAGCCTGTTGGAGGGCAGGCACGCATTAGGGGCCAATTCCCTCCCGCTTTCTTCTCACCACGGGACCCTAAGCTGTACCAAACTAGCTCTTCAAGTATCACTCACCTCGTCAGACCGCGAGCCACAGGCTGTGTCTGGGTCCTGGGAAACGGGGTGCCCGTGTCCTGCTCAGACACCCTTCCTTGGCTTCTGCTGACCTGAGACTTCCCCTTGCTTTGCCAACAGCCAGGGGTATCGACTCAGAATTCATTTCAGGGGGTGGGGTGGGTTTTAGCTTGAATACATTCATTTCCCTAAAGATACTAATTACATTCCTGGAGATACTAGTCATGGGCTCCACGTCAAACCTACTTAAGAGCATCTCAGGGCAGTTATGTGTACAACTGCAGTGAAATTTGTTTTTGGGATTTTGTAGGCTGAAAGCTGGACCTCTAGAAAAGTCATCAGCGCCGGAGGCGTCCTTTCAAAGGGTCACACTTATCAAGGGTCCTGGCCCTTCGGGGCACTGCATATCAGTAATAAATGCAAATGATCAGCAAGGACCCGGTATGTGACCACGGCTGGTCCAAACTAAGTGCCTCTTCCCCTTCCCCTCCTACCAAAGTTACTTCTCAGCCACAGGAGAGAGATCCCGGCCAGAAGCAGGGCAGAGATCCCTCAGAGCAGTGCTTCTCAACGGGGGTGATGTTGTCTACCAGGGGACACTTAGTACTTTCTGGAGACATGTGTGTTCGTCACAACTTGGAGTGCTATGGGCATCTGTTGGGAAGAGCCCAAAGATGCTTCTAAGATGCTTCTAAGATGCTTCTAAGCATCGTACAATGTGTGGGACAGTCCCCATAACAAAGAATTAGCTGGCGCAAAATAGTAAGCATGGTAAGCTTGCAAAATCCTGCCTCCGAGCTTAGAACTTTGCTGTCCAGTGCAGCACCCACGAGCCACACGTGGCTCTGGACCACTTGAAATGGGGCCGTGATGGAGGTGTGTTCTAACACACACTGATTGGAAAGACTTAGTGTCAAAAAATATGAAATGTCCTATTAATCATTTTTACATTGACTACATGTTGAAATAAGCTTTTAAATATAATGGGTTACACATACGCCGTTAAAAAATCAGATGCACCAGTTTTGTTTTGTTTTTCTCTTTTTCTGAATGTGACTCGAGAGGATTTAAGTTCCCTGCGTGGCTCACGTTGTGCTTCTATTGGACAGTGTTGTTTAGAACTTCTTCCACCCGCTCCCCTCCTTCCACAGGCTTTCTGGGTCTTCTGTGAAGCACTCTGGGCTCAGGGCTACCATCTGCCCATAAATCACTTTTGGTTTAGTTACAAAACATAGTCCCTTCTTTGAGACGACACTCCCAGCGGCCAAAAGATGACGGTCACAGGATATTGTTGGGACGCTTTACTGCGACCTACTGGAAGGTCGGTGTAGCAATTTAGACCGCGTGAACACGGCACCAAGTGCAGTGGACCATCCTGGCGGTGCTGGTTGCCGTGTGTCCATGCCGGGGGTGGAGTCTGCAGAGGAGGATTTATTCCGCCGCAATCCTCCCCTTCAACGGTCTGTAAGGTTCTCTTCCACGCACACGTGTTGTTTTTAACCCCAGAGAGAAGACTCTGATTGTTATCTGTCAGACTTGATTTGGGGAGCGGGGATGGAGACCAAACGGTTAATTTCTGGCTTGGATAAACCCTCACTGTCTTATTCTCTGAGCAAGTATTGTGGGTACACGATCATGGTACATGTTGGTGGGAAAGACCAAAAAGTAGGGTCTTTCCCTCAAGACACTTAGTCTCCAGAGCAGGGATTTCTCTAGGCCAGCTTTTTCTTGGAAGGGCAAAATGGTAACTATTTCAGACGTGCAGGCCATATGGTCTCTGCGGAAACTACTCAAAAGCAGCCACAGACAATATGGAAATAAATTTGAAGGAACGAAGTTTTGCAATTTGCAGCAACACGGATGGAGGGCATGATGCTAAGTGAAGTAAGTCAGACAGAGACAAATACTGTGTGATACCACCCATATGTGGAATCTAAAACATACAACAAACTAGTGAATATGATGAAAAAGAAGCAGACGCACAGATATAGAGAACAAACTAGTGGTTACCAGTGGGGAGAGGGAAGGGGGGCAGGGGCAATATAGGGGTAGAGGGAGAAAAACAGGATTATTAGGGGACTATATGGAATCATATGGGCTTCCCTGGTGGTGCAGTTGTTAAGAATCTGCCTTCCAATGCAGGGGACACAGGTTCGAGCCCTGGCCCAGGAAGATCCCACATGCTGCAGAGCAACTAAGCCTGCGAGCCACAACTACTGAGCCTGTGCTCTAGAGCCCACAAGCCACAACTACTGAGCCCACGAGCCACAACTACTGAGCCCCCGTGCCACAACTACTGAATCCCACGTGCCTAGAGCCCATGCTCTGCAACAAGAGAAGCCACTGCAATGGGAAGCCCGCGCACCGCAAAGAGTAGCCTCTGCTCGCCGCAACTAGAGAAGGCCCGCGCACAGCAACGAAGACCTAACACAGCCAAAAATAAATAAATAAATTTATAAAAAAAGAAATCATGTGTGAAACTTTTGAAAATTGTAAAGCATTATAGAATTTAAAGAATCATTCAATAAAATTTAAAAAAAGAAATAGATTTGAGTGATCCTATTCCAATAAAACTTTATTTATAAAGCAGGTGGTGAGCTGAATTTGTCCCAAAGTTCATAATTTTCCCTATAGAGCAGTCACGGCTGCCCTATGGGCCAGACCCATGCTGCCGACGTATTTTATTTTTTTCCCATTGTAGTTGTTTTTTTTAATTACCTTTGGTTGCCAACTTTGAAAAACAAGGTGACTTTTACCAAATTTGCAGCTTCTCTTGAAGACGCAGCAATCCCAAATTCACCTTTATACACGCCACAACTGACAGGAGTTGGCTACTACTACCCTTCTAGAAATGGGTTTGTCTGATTTACCACTTCACTCATTTAAATCACCTGCTTGGTTACTGTAGGTATCGGGGGTTTGACCCATAGTCCATAGCTCTCTTGATGACAGCTAGGTTGGCATGATGTCAAATTAAGCGATGGAAATGGGAAAGTTTAGTAAAGCCACCGGAAGTGTTTTGTACATAAACCAACCAGCTGAACCCCTTATTTCACCAGGCTGAACTCTCTCAGCGAATGGGAGGCCCCCATGCAGCTTCCACCAGTTCAATCCAGACGCTAATGGAATCACTTACTTTGCACTTTTTTTGGCCATGCCTCTCGGCTTATGGGATCTTAGCTCCCCGACCGGGGATCGAACCCATGCCCTCGGCAGTGAGAGCACCGAGTCCCAACCACTGGACCACCACCACTGGAATCACTTACTTTGATGACTTCCTCGTCTGTGGACTTGCATTCCACCGACTCCGAGATATCCGTCACGGCACTGTTCTCCTCCACGGAGACCACCCTGATGGGCATGGCAACTGTCTTTCCCGTGAGGATGGCGGTGTTCAGAATCTCAGTGTCCTGCCGGAAGAACCAGACATAGCTGGGTCAAGGGAGCTATTCAGTTCTCTCCGACCCTAGGGGAAGCCTTCCAAGGTGTGCGCCAGGCTGTCTTTGTTTAGACAAGACATGCAGCACTTACCTTAGGGACCTGGGCAAATGAGTCACTTTTGAACAATTTCCCAAGAGCGTTTCACAATTTACTTTTAGTTTATTTGTGATCGTCTTCCTAGTTTTCAACAACAACAATCCAAAAATATGTATTCTTTTTCTTTATTGCAGAGACCAAGTAAAAGTTACACATCAGTTAGGTTTGGGTTGCAAGCAACAGAAATTGACCGGCTAGTTCGAGCAGGAAGGTACTCTGGTAGGTTGAATAACCAAGATGCCCATGTTCTCATCTCTAGAACCTGTGCATCTGTTGCCTTACATGGTAAAAGGAACTTTGCAGTTGTGATTAAGCTAAGGATCTTGAGATGAAAAGATTATCCTGGGTTACCTGGGGTGGACCCAATGTAACCATAAGAATTCTTTGAAGAGGTAGCCATGGGGGTCAAATGAAGAGAACAAGATGCGGTGCTGGAAGCAGAGTGATGTGGCTGTGACCTGGGAGATGTGGGCAGCTTCTAGAAGCTGGAAAAAGAAGAGATTTCTCCCTAAAGCCTCCAGGAGGAAGACACATTAATTTTAGCCCCAGAAGACTCCTTTCTGACTTCCAACTTCCAGAACTGTAACGGACCAAAGTTGTGTTCATTTGTTAGAGCATTTGTTGTAACAGGAAATGAATTCAGGTTCTTAGTGGATAGATCCTGGGCTACTCCCGGGATCAGAGGAAAAGCTGAAGTAGGCTTTGGAAAGGCAGGACCAAGAACGACTTCCAGGATGTTGAAAAGAGGAAAGGATGGGCGAGTCTCTCTAGAGTGAAGCGGAGTGAATCCCTTCAACCATTTCTATCCCTGAGTGACTCTGCTTATGATTTAAATTTTCTGGAGGGAGAGTCTGATTGGTCTCATCATGGTGCCCATCCCTTATCCAGGGAAGGATGGGGCCACTCTGATTGACATGTCTACCAAGATCGATTCCAACTGGAAAAGGGCAGTCTTAAAAAAAAATCAGAACTGTGTTATCAGAAGACGATAGAATGTATAGATTCCCATCAGGCAAACAAGGGCAACAACAGATAGATAGTCATTACAAAAGCAATCAAAGAGTTAGGTAATTTTTACCCCCAAATGCCTGTGATCACTACTGCACCTCGGCGATGGGCTGCATCGTTTTGTGTAGCCAACCAAACTGTCTTCCTCTGTTGACCCACTGTGGCCCATCCCATCCTCTGATGACTTGGGTTTATCCTGTTCACACTGACTTCGTGCAAAATGACGAGCATCACACCTCTCACGTGTGTTATGATTTGCAAAGTGATGAAGAAAATGCCTTCTCTTTTGAATTTGTAGGCACTCCCTGCTTGCACTTCTGTAATTCTTTTCTTTATGGTCAAATGAAGATGAAAAAGCATCTGTGGCTTTGGGACATCTACTGGCACCTTTAACCTTTGGGTCAACTTCTCCCCAAGTCCCTCTCCAGAACTGCTGCTTCACTTTGAAGCCAGAGATGCAAGGAAAGAGATTTTCTCAGTTCTTCCTCCAGGGAGGCAACTGGCACAGAAACAACCTTTTGCGTTAACCAAGAGCATCGCTGAAAGAGTCATCCGTTCTAAGGAGAGTGCAAACCCCTCTCCGATGCTGGTGCCCATCAGTCAGCAGTTCAATAACCCTCTGCCATGTCTTCTCTTGGGTCCACAGGCTTCCTGGAGCTGGAGCTGCCATCTGGGCAGTGTCCACACTGGCTATTCCAGATGCTAAGAGTACTGCAGAAATCCCCCAAGTCCATTTTCAGGTTCATTACAGGTAATGTGCTCGGAGTTCAGTCTTAACATTTTCTTTCTGAGAATGGTCTTTGGCTAATGGCTTCATTAAAGCAGAAAATTCCCTCGTGTACTAATTGTGATTAGCTTTCTAGTGGTCACTGCAGTTTCTCTCTCTCTCTCTCTCTCTCTCTCTCACACACACACACACACACACACACACACACATCCTCTTTTACCTAACACTTCTTATTCCTAAACTGAATTACATCAAGATTAAGACTGGCGAATCATTAGATATTTTTCACTGACCAAGATCAATTGCAGAAGCAGAAATTTACAGTCCTAGAAATGCCAAATGGGTGAAGAAAGCATCGATCTTCAGGATAACCTGGCTAGGCCACAAGGATGAAGTTCCCTGTATTTAAAAATTCCTTCCTTTTCCATCTAAAAACAGGATACAGATGAACTTATTTACAAAACAGAAACAGACTCACAGACTTAGAGAACGAACTTAGGGTTACCAGGGGGAAGGGACAGATTGGGAGTTTGGGATTGACACTCACACACTACTATATGTAAAACAGATATAACCAACAAGGACCTACTGTAGAGCACAGGGAACTCTGCTCAGTATTCCTTAATAACCTAAATGGGAAAAGAATTTGAAAAAGAATAGATACTTGTATAACTGAATCACTTTGCTGTACATCTGGAACTAATACAACCTTGTTAATCAACAGTACTCCAATATAAAATAAAAATTTTTTTAAGTGAGTAAAAAGAAAAAAATTTCTTTCCCGATCAATGGTTTTGGTGAGTGTCTGTTACTTGGTGGGCACGAGGAGTCTGGAATCCCAGATTCTAGTCTATGCTTTGCCGTTAACTTTCTGTAGAACCTTCCTCGCATCCCTTATCTTTTGGAATCTTTGCTTCTTCATTTTACAAATTAGGGGGTTGGACTGCATCTTCTCTGTCTTTCCAGCTGTCAAATCCTAGATAACCATGAAGATCCAACAGCCATTTAATGAACACTTATTGTGCACCCAGCACGTTCTTGTCACTGGGTTATAACGTAGTGAACCAGAGTGACAAGCCCACGCTCACGCAGACGGATGGGATGGCAGGGGGGGAACAAGCAAGCAGGCAGCCACTATATTGGGTTTGTCAGGACCTTTTCATTAACTAGTGGCAAAAATCCAACGCAACTCAATCTAAGCAAAAATGGAGACCTACTGCCTTGTATGACTCAAATATCTGAGGGAAGATTCCAGCTCAGGTATTGCTAGGACCAGGTTCTCAAAACATGTTGCAATTAATTTCTTTCTTTCTTTTCTTTTTTTTAATCAATTTATTTATTTATTTTTGGCTGTGTTGGGTCTTCCTTTCTGTGTGCGGGCTTTCTCTAGTTGAGGCAAGCGGGGGCCACTCCTCATCGCGGTGCGCGGGCCTCTCACTGTCGCGGCCTCTCTTGTTGTGGAGCACAGGCTCCAGACGCGCAGGCTCAGTAGTTGTGGCTCATGGGCCTAGTTGCTCCACGGCATGTGGGATCTTCCCAGACCAGGGTTCGAACCCGTGTCCCCTGCACTGGCAGGCAGATTCTCAACCACTGCACCACCAGGGAAGCCCTTCTTTCTTTTTTAATTGAAGTATAGTTGACTTACAATATCGTGCCCATCTCTGCTGTACAGCAAAGTGACTCAGTTATACACATACAGACATTCTTTTTCATATTCTTTTCCATGATGGTTTATCACAGGCTACTGAATATAGTTCCCTGTGCCGTACAGTAGGACCTTGTTGTTTATCCATCCTATATATACTAGTTTCCCAATCCTTCCCTCCTCCCCTCCCCTCCCCTCCCTCTTGGCAACCACAAGTCTGTTCTCTATGTCTGTGAGTCTGTTTCTGTTTAATAGATAGGTTCGTTTGTGTCATATCTTAGATTCCACATATAGGTGATATCATATGGTATTTGTCTTTCTCTGTCTGACTTTCTTCCCTTAGTATGATCACCTCTAGTTGCATGCAATTAATTTCTACGTCTCCCCATCTCTTGACTCTCTTTTCCTCTGTTTGGCTTCATCAGTCAATAAGCTATTTCTGCATAGTAGACCCCCAGCTATATTCTCCATGGCTCACATCTGTGTTCTTCCCTCATACAACTCAAAGCAAAAAACAAACAAACAAAACCCCCAAACAGCCCAATTAAAAAATGGGCAAAGCACCTGAATAGACATTTTTCCAGAGAAGATAAAATCCAAATGGCCAACAGACACATGAAGAGATGCTCAGCGTCACTAACCCTCAGGGGAGTGTAAGTCACAACCACAAAGAGAAATGAAGAATCCTGTACCACCCTCGGATCCCCACGAGGGAGCGATTTTCCGGTTGGATTGTACCTTTCTGGTTTCCCCCAGTTGCGAGCATAGCTATGGGATTACAGAAAACAATAGCACACGTTGTAGAAGCAGAGGGGGCAGTGAGGAGCCCAGGCATGGACTGGGCACATGGGCCAGGTCTGACTGTAAAGGTCCTCTGTCCCCTCCCAAGGACTTGGAGAGATGCTGTGCTGGGAAGGAGGGAAGCTTTCCTAGAGAGTGAAAAATGTGTGTGTGTGTGCGTGTGCGTGCGTGTGTGTGTGTCTGTGTGTGATCGGGACACTGCAGATTACAGAGTTATGTGGGGCTCGCTGCTGCTCCCGAATCCTTTTACGGTCAAGCCCAATTCATAGCGATGTGCCTGGCGCGCTATTTAAATGCGTACAACTGTGTGCTTTCGGAACCCCCAGCCGGACCTGGAAGAACTCATTTTGGGCAGGGCGGGCTGGGAGCAGGTGCCGCCTGCCTTTATCCTCCACGTAGCGCGGCTCTGGAGCCCAGGCTGCAGGCTGCCCTCCCTCCAGACCCCCCTGAGCTATGAGATGCTCGGCATCACGGAACGGAGTCCTCTTCTGAAAGCAGGTGGGTGGACATCTCCTGCTGCCCCCAGCGGACATCAGACCCCACCCACCAATACCCTTTCAGAGCCTCACGGAACACAACTAAGGCACGGTTACCTGGACCCTTTTCCTGTTATTAAATGTTTTCTGCTGTCACTGTTTTTCTCTCTCCCTCCACCTCCTTCCATCAGGAACCAGAGAACTGCTCTGTGTTTC